CCTAATCCCTATGCCAAGGTGCAGGGAGCTGAAGAGAGAGCTCGCGGAGGCCCAGCCGCGGCTGGAGAGCATCTGCGCCCCGCGGAGCGGCCGCGAGCGCTGCCAGGAGCTGGGTGCCTTCAGGGCTTTTAGGGCTTGAGGTTTAGGGCTATATAGGGTTTAAGGTTTAGGGTTGAAGGTTTCGGGTTTGAGGTTTATAGGGTTATAGTTATAGGATTCAAGGTTTAGGGTTTAAGGTTCAGGGTTGAAGGTTTAGGGTTTTAGGGCTTAAGGTTTGGGGTTTAAGGTTTAGGGTTATAGGGTTTTGGGGTCAAGGTTTTAGGGCTTATAGGATTCGGGGGTTTAGGGGTCTGGAGTTTAGGGTTTAGGGGTTTAGGCGAGGGCTTAGAGGGGCTGTATAAAAGCTTGAAGTTCCAGTTTGGGATCGTAGGGCTGATAGGGTTTAGGGCTTTTGGAGGGTCTATACCGTAAGAAAGGCTCTTTGAAGGATTCTTCTATGAGGGCTTAATGTGGGTCTCCAAAGGGTATCGTGTTTGGGGCTTTTTGGGATCACGCGATTCGGATTCTCTTTATAGGGTTCCAAAACTACGGGCTCCTTGAAGGGTTTGCAGGTGAGGTTGTCGGGTTTAGGGTTTAGGGTTTAGGGTTTAGGGTTTAGAGTTTAGGGTTTAGGGTTCTACACTTAGGGCTTATGGGATTGGGCTTGCAGGGCACGGTTTCGGGCTGTGTAAGGCTTAGGGCGTGGCAGGGGGTTGGAATTCTAGATGCAACAGGCAAAGCTAAACCCTAAACCCTAAACCCTACACCGTAAAGTCGAAACCCTAAACCCTACACCGTAGAGCCTTAACCCTAAACCCTAAACCCTCAACCTAAGGCCTAGGGCCTAGGTGCAAGCCGCACCTCCTGCTCACGAAGCGCGGAAGGTCTCTCCGCCCCCTCTGACAAGCGAGAGCGGAAGTCGGGAGATGGGCCGTCGTCTTCCGGAAAGCGCCTCTTCCTTGCGATGCAAATCTTAGGTTGCCTTTTAATGTAGGGGCCTGAATAAATACCTATACTATTTCGGGGGTTCCAAGGGCCTAGATAATTACCTGTACTGTTTTGGGGGCTCCTGTAATAACTATAGTTTCATTGGCCCCGAAGCCCTATTCTAATTATTAAGGCCCCTGTAGTAAGCGTTTAGGGTTGCTACCAGGGCTTCAACAGGGGTTGTATGGGGCGGTTTAGAATTTCAGACTTGGAGTTTGAGGGTGTTGCGGGAAAATAGGGGCCTTAATAACTAGACGAGGGCTTTGGGGCCCAACATAGTATAATTCATTCTACTATGATGTTAATAAGGAGCCCCCACGATAGTGTAGGTAATCATGTGGGTGGTTGTCAAAATTATGGTCCCTTTTTGGGGTCCTTATTATAATACGTCACCTATTATTTAGGGTACCCAAAAGGGACCATAATTATTACCCTAAACCCTAAACCCTAAACCCTAAACCCTAAACCCCATAATTTTGACAACTACCCATGTAAACCCCGGGTTCGGGGCAACTCTTTGAGGTCTGGTTTCGGCTCCTTTCGCCGACTCTTGAACTGCTCCATATGCAACACCTGCTTCCTTAGGGTTTAGGGTCTAGGGGTTTAAGGTTCAGGGGTTTAGGGTTTAGGGGGTTTAGGGTTTAGGGGTTTAGGGTTTCGGGGTCACGATGCGGATTCAAGTTCTTGCAGGTTGAATAGTAACGACGATTGAGCTCTGAAAACCCGGCCAACAAAAGCGCACAATCCGAATTCTATAGCCTAAACCCTACCCGAAACCCATGACCTCACGGAAAAGGCGATGACCGCATAGATAGCCAGAATGTCCCCAAAATAGAATGTTTGTTGGATCTACGGCAACAATGGAGCTCTATGGATTCTACATCCAAAAGCTTTCTCAAGAGCAGTCGTAGCTTCTGCGGCAAAGATGAGAAGGCTGGCTGCCTTGGCACCTGAGTTCTGTCTTCGGAGCACCACATCAAACTACCATACTGCGGAAGTATATCCCCAACGTATACCCCTATAGTATCCAAGCTTGAAAACTTCCTGTAACATGCTGCAATATCCGATATCCCTATATGGCCCCAACAAAGCCCCAGCGCAAAGCCTTTGACCAAGAACAGTCATGAACAGCCAACCCTTAAACCCTGACGCCTAAACTCTAAACCCCTGAACCCTAACCCCCAAACTACCCTCCAGTATACACCCTACATACCCACCATCAAGGGCCCATAAAGGGAACCCGATAATAGAGCCCTGTAGTACCCTTTAAACCCTAAACCCTAAACCCTGTAATAGAGCCCTATAGTACCCTTTAAACCCTAAACCCTAAACCCTATAATAGAGCCCTATAGTACCCTTTAAAGGGCCCAAGCAGCAAAGCCTTTAAGGAAAGCCGAGGCACGGCCTCCTGAAAGGGGCGCGGCCGCGGGGAGGCCTCACCTGGGTTCTTCGGGAATTTAGTTTAGGGTTTAGGGTTTAGGGCTTAGGGTTTAGGGTTTAGGGTTTAGGGTTTAGGGTCTATGCTTTAGGGTCTAGGGTCTAGGGTTTAGCGTTTGGGGTTTAGGGTCTAGGATTTAGGGCCTAGGGTCTAGGTTTCAGGGTTTAGCATTTGCGGTTTAGGGTTTGGGGTTTAGGGTTTTAGGGTTTAACCATGATTTAGGATTTCTTTGAGGGTTCTATAAGGGTTGATGGCTAAGGAATTTGGTTTCGGCCACCATGATAGCATATAATGGGAATCTGTGCGTGATAACACTAATGAATAACGAGGACCTGCAGTAATTCAAACACAAGGGGTCTATAGATAGCACATAAGAAAAACTATGGCTTCCCTGGAAACTTAAGTTCCCTAAACCCTATAAACCCTACCCCTTAGCATCAACATAGCCCAAAAGACTTATATAGTAGGGTCTTTGGGCCCAAAATCCTTAACATATGAACCCTTTGAGGGTAAGGGGAAACCCTGATGCCACAAGAACCCAGTCGCGCCAATCCTCCTGCTCAATCCAACTCGGAGTAGGACGGCGCGGGTGACTTCTGACAGTCTCCTGTGTTTTTGTTTGTATAATTTTGCGGCTTGGGGAATGTAGGGTTTAGCACCTAGCGGGTTTAAGAATTTAAGGTATCTGGGGTGTACAGGTTTAGAGTTTAGGATTCCCCCTCCCCCTCGCCCTCCTGCTCCTCCTGCCTCATCTAAAAAACAAAGAGAGCAGATACCACTATAACGCAAGCAAACAAAACAGAAATATATCTCGGGCTGCCAGCTAGGCTCCTCTCTGCGCTGCCACTCCTGTTCTTGCCGATGCTTCGGCGGGTCGTAGTAGGAAGCTTGCCGCGGGGTCCATAACCTTCGCTGTCGATTTCAGCACGCACAAGTTTAAAAAGGTCAACAGCGTCAGTCACAAAAAAACACGTGTTCAAAGAATGACAGGATCAAATTCTAGCAATTCAGCTGCTAAGCAACTCTTTCGACTCCTTCACCTCGGTGAACGGCGTGTCGAGGCTTCGGCGAACGGACCTTTGCTTGGCCCTTGCAGGTGCCAGGACTCCTGGGCTTTGAAGTAACCATAGTGTCTTAGGAATGCTTAGGACCCGTTCAGGATTTAGGGTTTAGGGGCACCATAACGGTTTGGGAATGCTTAGGACCAGTTTAAAATCCAGGATTTAGGGGCACCATAATATAATGGTTTCGGATTTTTTGGGGGGGATTCAGGGTGTAGGGAAGTGGTCCAAAAACAAAGCAACAACTTATGGTCCTAAACCCTAAACCCTAAACCCTAAACTTCAGAGCCCAGATGCGATCGGGTGGAGTCATAGGCTCCTCTGCCTCCCTGGAAGGCGCTGCGGGTGGCTGCAAGGGAGTTCGTAACTCCTCTTCCTCCTCCCAGGCGTCTCCCGGGCCTCTTTTGGGGTACCGTGGCTCCTCCGGGGCTCTTGAAAGGAAGCGGTGCTCCTTGGGCCTCTGGGCTTGGGATTTCTCAGAGTGGTCTCTTGCGGCCGCAATGAAATCAGGAAGGCCCCGCTGCAAGAAGCCGGAGCCACCATCCACACCTGCCGTTTCTGGGTTTTTGGTTTGGAATTGTGGGGTTTAGGGTAGGATCGCAGTTGGTTTCATGTATGGTTGGGCCTGGCTTTGGGTGTGGCTTCCGGAGCTTTTGGGGATGTACAACTGCGTGGGGTTTACGATCTACGACCGCCTTGAGCCCGAAGCCAAACTTCTTCAGGTTCACCCAAACCCTAAGACCCTAAACCCTAAAATGTTAACACCCTAAGCCCCTAAACCCTAAACCCCAAAAACCCTAACTCTGAAACCCTAAACCCAAAAGCCCTAAAGCCCTAAAGCCCTAAAGCCACAGATTCTCACAAGCCTATACCGTGGCGGTTGAGGGCTCAGGGCCCGGGTTACAGGCTTTGCAAGCTCGCCCAGGCCTTGCCCTCGGGGTCCATGTGCCCAACTAGAAAAGACTTTGGCATTCAAGTAGTCGCTATATGGCGATTCCCGAAAATGGGGGACCCTAACATAGTACCCTAAATAGTAGGACCAAATAGTAGGACCCTTATTATAAGAAC